TCGTGCCATGAAGTTTGGTACGACTGATATCGGTTATGGTTAGGTTAGGTTAGAACTAAACTCTGTAAAACCGTCTCAGATACTGGCTTTTTGTCAAAGCCCTGAGACTGTATGTTATATATATATATATATATATATATATATATATATATATATATATATATATATATATATATATATATATATATATATATATATATATATATATATATATATATATATATATATATATATATATATATATATATATATATATATATATATATATATATATATATATATATATATATATATATATATATATATATATATATATATATATATATATATATATATATATTGAGTTATAACTCAAGAACGGGGGACACACAATAAATCTGTAAGGTCACATTGATTAACCTCCCTCCTATACATTCTACATTCTACAAGTTCTCGAGTCCTACTATTGCAATTAGTTATATAAGAATCTATTTGGAGTTTACCATAAATACTCGAGGCTAACAACACGAAAACCATGAATAACAACGGTACTGAACTTTGAACTAACTCCAAGTAAAATACAATCGTAAAATATGGTACATTTTACGCTGGCGCACTTTCGTTGTTACGTCCGTCACTCCCGATAAAAATCTAGACTGGTACTCTTTGTTAATTTGTAGTACTAACCGTCATTGAGACTACGCAAAGGCAAAATGGAACATTGATATGTGCAGTGAGACAATAAAGATTAATATCAGATTACGTTAAAGAACTATAGAACTTCGAATCTCTATTTTGTAAAATAGACAACTTAAAAAATGCACTTTTATTCTATACCTTCTATTCATCTTCTATTTGATTTTTTTATAAAACATAAATTTTTATATTTTTTGATATACAGGGTGGTCCGAACTGTATACCGGAAACTTCGGCAGCATATTCTGCAGATTAAAATAAGTCAAAAAGTTCGTATAAATGTACATATGTCCTAAAATGCTTACTTTCGGAGATACAGGGTGTAGAAGTATCATTTTTATTTCGATTTTTTCCAAATAATTTATGAAGTAAAGTCAATATTTGGATGAAAATTGGAGCCTGGGAGTTTTTTGACATGATGCATTTGATTTTTATGTCAATATGACTCCTACTTGTAGAGGGCGCCACCTACATATGTTTTAACTGGTTCGAGGAGTAATAACTTTTCGTCCATACCTGTATAAAACTAGTGAGTTAAAAATCTACATTTACAACTTTTTTCCTTAAAAAAAGGTCTCTTGGTAAAAATCGCTACGAGTAATGGTTTTCGAGATATTCGGAATTGAAATTATCAATACCTGTCATCATTGACATAAATTAAACACGAGATTAAACATGTTGACTAAATAGTTATTAGACTGAAATCATAAATTTGAAATCTTTTTGAGCCAAAAGTTCAACAGAAACTGTTTAATTTAATTAATTTAACAAAATAAAAATGTATTATTTCAGTTAAGTAACTATACTCAACGTGCTTATTTTTTGTCAATAATGACATGTATTGACTATTTCCATTCTAAATATCTTGAGAACGGTTGCTCGTAGCGATTTTTACCAAGAGACATTTTTTACGTAAAAAGTCATGGAAATGTATATTTTTCAGTCAATAGTTTTATACAGGTACGGAGGAAAAGTTATTACTCTTCAAAACAATCAAAACGCATGTAGGTGGCGCCACCTACAAATAGGAGTCATTTGGACATCAAAATCAAATTTCTCGTGTCACAAAACTTACAACCAAACCAAACCCAAACATCAATTTTCGTCTAAATATTGACTTTACTCCACAAATTATTTAGAAAAAAATTGAAATAAAAATGAATCTTCTACACCCTGTGTCTCCGAAACTAAGTATTTTAGGACATACATTTATACGAACTTTTTTACTTATTTTTATCTACTGAATATGCTACCGAAGTTTCCGGAATACAGTTCGGACCACCCTGTATAATCACTTGATATTCAAAAGTACTTATAGAACTGAAACATTTGGAAAAAATCGGTAGTTCTGAGTCAGAACTTCTGACTGACACTATTGTTAAATCTGATATAGTTTGTTCAACGTTCTTTAACGGTACATCCTCAAGTCCTCAATGTTTATCAAACATGCGTTTTAGAGTGTGTCTGAGATCACGTCTTATTGTAAATTATTTTAGGCAAATCGTAAATAGTTCAAGATGCCAAAAAAATAAACCGTTAACTGTAGTTACAAAATTCAGTAATGTGAAACTGCTTTATGGCACTTTTCTGTGGGCGAATATTTGTGAATATGATTATAACTTGGGTGATGACTTGCCAATAGGTTTTTATTTCATTTACACAATGTTTATTTTTTAAATCCTACATATTGTCTACATGCAGTACAACCTCAAAGGGCGAATTCAGTATAGTAGAAAAAAAAGATGTTCAAATGAAGATATTCAAAATTCTTTTTTTCCTTCTAGTGACATAAGATTAAATGTCATTCATTATTTCTTTTCAGTGTATTTTTTTGCGGTATTTTTTCGCGGTATTTTTTCGCCTTAGTTCTTGAAATCAGGGAATTACCCGAAACGCAATGCCAACCAAAATGTAAACGCCAATGCAAATAAGTAACACACGTTCCGTTTCTCTATTAATATGGAAGTGAATCTCATGATCCATATTATATGTTAATATATAAAAATAATGAATGACTTGAAAAGACAAGATTGCCAAGCCGAACTATAAAGGAACTGGTCATGGACCTAACGTATAAATATGAAGAGAATATCTCAATATATATTTAATTATAATTAATTTATAACTAAATTTAAATTTCTTGATGGAGCAATAGATTAAACTAAAAAACGCCACAACACTGAATACCACGACTTTCATTATGAATTTAAATTTCTTGATGGAGCAATAGATTAAACTAAAAAACGCCACACCACTGAATACCACGACTTTCATTATGACTTGGGCAATGTTGTTATTCAAAAAAAAAATGTTTCAGGGATATCCTCAAAATATTACTGTCACTTTTTTCTGTTTCCGTTGTGTCTAGGAATAAATTAACTAATGTAGAACTGTTGAGTTCCTAAGCCAGGGTGCCCGGCTGACAAACGCCACCCCGACGATATGGCCAGTCCGACCCACGCATTTACGCTTGGCATTTACAGGTGTTTGCTTTTTGAGAATTGGGGTACAAATGTTGTACTCATCCATTCGGGTGGTACGGTTCTTGTACTATATACGGAGTTTAAGAATTTTGTTTGTATTTGTTCATCTTCCAGAAGTTTTAGAAATTCAATTGGTAAGCAGGCCGGTCTTGGTATTTTTCCATTCTTTGTTTTCTTCGGTCATATTTAACCTCTTCAATAAGTATTTCGGGCCTATTACCACGTCTAGGGTTGCCTTAAGGGGGACAGTACGGTTTTTTAAGTAAATTGTCCCACAGTTCCCGTTTTTTCACTATCCTGCCATAAAGAATTTTTTAACAATCTATAATATTATTAATAACAATCAACCTATAATGGAAGCAAATCAAGTTTGCAAGCACTGGGAACAATATGTAAGAGAACTGTACGCACCGCAAATCCCTAGAGTTTTCAACATCAAAAATGGATTTGAAGAGGCACCTGATATCTTAACTTAAAAGTAGAGAGAGCTATAAAAAATAGTAAAGTAGGAAAAGCCTGCGGCCCGGATGAAGTACATGTTGAGATGCTCAAATTGATAAATGAAGAAAACATCCCTATGCTAACTAGACTGATAAACCAAATCTACAAAAGCAGTGAGATCCCACAAGATTGCCTGAAGTCAATTTTTGTGCCTATCCCAAAAAATAACACCGCAAAAAGATGCGAACACTTCAGATTAATACGCCTAATGAGCCATGTTTTAAAAATACTTCTTAAAATAATTCAACACAGAACATTCAAAAAATGTGAAATTGATTTAGATGATGGCCAATTTGGCTTTCGAGAAGAAATGGGGACCAATGGGAAGCAATGTTTGGCCTGTCTGTTCTCTTACAGAAATGTAGAGACCAGCAAAAAGACGTATACATTTGTTTCATCGACTACAAAAACCTTTGATAAAGTAGAACACACAGTGCTGTTTAACATCTTGCAGGAAAGAGGTCTAGACAAAAATGTTATCCAATTCTTAAAAACACTATATTGGAATCAGACAGCATACATAAGGTTAGGGCAAGACGAAACAGACGAAATACCAGTACAACGTGGAGTTTGTCAGGGATGTGTACTGTCTCCCTTATTGTTTAATATATACTCGGGATATATATTCGATAAGGCCCTACAAGATAAAGGCATTGGCATAAAAATAAATGGCGTCCCAATTAACAACCTTAGGTATGCAGACGACAGCGACACCGCGATTATCGCTGACAACCCTGAGGCTCTTCAAGAACTTCTAGACGACATAGTTCGGGAAGGAGATCCATTGGGCCTTAAAATAAACACGGCAAAAACTAAGATAATGGTCGTTAGTAGGAGAAATATTCCACCACCCAACATACGGACAATCCGTAGACACGGCAAATAAGTTCAAGTTACATCGCGTATAGAACAGGCTAGATGAATGTTTAATAAAATGAGAAACCTATGATGTAACCGATCACTCAATATCAACATACGTCTGCGTTTTGTCCATTGTTATGTATACTCAATCCTCTTATACGGCTGTGAGACATGGACAATTAAAATGAACACCATGAGACGGTTGGAAGCTTTTGAAATGTAGATCGATAGAAGACCTGGTGGAAATACCCTGGACAGATCATGTACGCAATGAAGAGGTTCTTGGGAGGCTTAACAAGGAAAGGGAATTAAAAAAAATATATAGTAAAGCTATATATATATATATATATATATTAAAGCAAATATATATATTAAAGCAAATATAAAAAAACGAAAGACAGCATACCTGGGCCATGTCATGCGTAATAGCAGAGCAAAGCTTCTGAAGTAGAAGAAGGAAAGGTAGAAGGCCGAAGAGGACTTGGGAGACGCAAGCACTCTTGGTTGAAAAACTTACGAGACTGGACTGGACTGAACTCACACGAACTATTTCGAACTGCACAGGACAGACAGTGTTTCGCCGCGATTGTTGCCAACCTTCATTAGAAGATAGTACTCTAAAAAGAATAATATTATTACCATATGCAACTACAGAGAAGTACCAGAGAATAAAGTAAATAGGTATATATTATAAACTTTTTTTTCGTAAAAGTTTTATTTTAGGTGTTGTCGAAGTCGTAATAGTTGCTAATTAAGTAATTAGCAACATTGTCCTGACTCTTCAGTAATGAGAATATAGCAGCCCTGCCTCAGTCAACGGTTATTTCGTCTTCATTTTGGTATTCTCCATCAACGAAGAGTTATTTTATGTATTCCGTCCATCTTTCAATTATTTCTTGCTCATTAGTAATTATATTTCTGTCTCGTCTTGTGGAGGACTAAATGATCTTTTGGCAGCTGTACCAGTCATTTCTTTTTTTCTCCGATGTATATTGAAAAAATGTTAACAAGCATTATGATATACGATAAGTCCGTCAAAATCTGTTACCCAACGTTAGATATTCGATATTTAAAATTAATCAAAAATACTAATACGATATGAATAATGGCCTTAATTAATGCCCTTACTATTCTCTTTTTTTTGGAATTCAAATATTTTGGGGAATATGCCTCGTCAATACTACAACGGTATTCGAAAATATTTGGTTACAATAAACGGAACGGACATTAAAGATAATTTAAAACTCGCACTATTACAGAAGAACAACAAAACTTAACCTCCAACCTCCTTCTAAGAACCACGCAGAAGTGGTAGATTGATATTTCTCGTTTGCGTTTAGTATTTTGTTGCACGTAGATATTAATTGAAGAGAAGAAAAATCGAATGGGCATGTATTTAGATTGCATCGTTTTATCATTTTCTAATAAGAAATGCGTATGCGTCAAGGGGATATTATTAGCCTTATAGGTGACGCCAATAATATTCCTTGAAGTTATTTCAATGTAATGCTAGAAATGCGTGCATTTAGCAAGAATATTTTACTCAAAAAAATATGTGTGCGTTGGAAATAATAACTATTATCATTAGATTTTTATTAAGATATTTCCTCGAATGATAAACCAATAAAGATTTTTATGAAACTCTAAAATGTCATTCATTGAATAACCGTCGTATATTACAAAAGAATAATTAATTACAAAACGGTAAGACCGTTTGTTTATTTACCAACCAGCAATCTTTATTGAATTTACGTTACGCAATTTCCTCTTAAATTCCCTCTTAATTTAAGGCAAACTGTTTTTACTTAGGATTATTGCTTCACTTGAACTTTCAAATATTATAATAGAGAAAAAATAATTCGGTATCCATATGTGTATAATTAAAAACATTAACGAAATAAAGTACAATGTGGTCAAAAAGTTTTATGGCGAATCTTGATAATGACATCTCCATATTAGGTACAGGGTGAGTCAAATTCGACGCTTTTAAATGGAAACACCCTTTTCTATAGGAGATAGACAAAAACTAATATCGGTGTCTGAGGCTCAATTTTTGTCAAAAATATGATGGTGAAAACCGCATATCGATATCTGTTACCGTTTCGGAGTTACGGGGTGTTTTTCAAAAATATGCATTTTTAACAAATCGCTGTAACTTTTTTGCTATGGAAAATTTTGTATTTTTATGAAAACATTTCCAAAGCACCTTTTTACGTAGAATCTAATGATTTAAGTATAATTTTTTTAAAATTGATAATTTAAGAATTATCAACAGAAAATTTGATTTTTTATATGGGACACCCTGTATATTTTTAATTTATTGAAAAGAATTTAAAATTACCTTTCTAAAAATATAACACACTTGATATTTTGCTCAATTCCTCTTGGAGATATAGAGTATATAAAAATTCGCCCGCTTTAAATAAGTAGGCTTTGAACGGCACCGGCTCGGCTGTAATGCAAAAAAATTCTAGCAGTGAGCATCAATTAAAACGAAAATAATATTTGCTATGAGAGATGCAGAATTTTATAACAATTTCAAATATATTTAACCAACATCACATTAAACTATATCTAATAACAATAAAAATAAATAGCAAACCAAGACATTAAATTTTGCTACAGGTGTTCGACATATCGACCGTCTTCTGTTATGGACAGACGGGGCAATTTTTGAACATTTCTCGCGGAATTCACTAACTCAGTAGGGGTGAAAGATACCCTGTCATAACTGCTGAGTATTTCTAATTCTTGTCTAGATTATACGGAAGAATAAGGAACCTTTATTCTTCCGCAAATATATCCATAGGATTAGATCCATGGGCACTAAGTCAGACGGCCTCGACGGCCAACGGCTGGGATCTTGGATAGCTATTCAATTATTCTTGAATTTGGCTGCAAAAATTTGCTTATAACTTCAGCGTTCGGAGGCGGTGCGTCGTCTTGCTGGAAAAATATGTTTTCGAATTCCATTAAGGGCATATTATCATCAATAGGGGGTCCAAAGCCTACTAGTTAAAAGTGGCGAACTTTTAAAAATTCTGTATTTCGAAGGGGATTATAACAAAATATCAAGTGTGCTATATTTTTGGAAAGGTAATTTTAAATTCTTTTCAGTTAATTAAAAATATAGAGGGTGTCCCAAATAAAAAATCAATTTTTCTGTTGATAACTTTTCAATTATTAATTTAAAAAAAATTATACTTAAACCATTAAATTCTACGTAAAAAGATGCTTTGGAAATGTTTTCATAGAAATACAAAATTTTCCATAGCAAAAAAGTTACAGCGATTTGTTAAAATGCACATTTTTGAAAAACCTTAACTCCGAAACGGTAACAGATATTGATGTGGGGTTTTCACCATCATGTTTTTGATGAAAATTGAGCTCCAGACACCGATATTAGTTTTCGTCTATCTCCTATAGAAAAGGGTGTTTCCATTTAAAAGCGTCGAATTTGACCCACCCTGTACATTAGATTTTAGTTTATATATAACTAGCGTGTACCAGCGACTTTGTTCGCGTCGAATTAATCATTTGTAATGGTGATGATAAAGCAAAGCAAGAATTTCCATTAATATACAAACTGGATAAAATTTTCTCATATTTATGTTAGCATGAGAAAAAACAATATGGCGATATTATTATACAACTTGGTAATATTGGAGGGGTAGTTTTATCTCGTTGGAATTTGACTTTCGAAAAATCCGTTTGCCAAAAATAAGCTTTTTACGTCAAGCAGTTTAAGCAGAATCGTGATTAAGAAATTACCCAACTTTTTGGAACACCCTGTATGATTTTTTAAAAAAATTCAAAATATGTAAAAAAACCAAATAAATTATGCTTGTCCAAGCGTTTTCCCGAAAGACCAACCGTTTTTTAAATAACAAATATTGTAATATTTGAGGGGCGTTTTCACCCTCTTGGAACTGGAATTTCGAAAAATTCCTTCTTATCGAACCTCTACACCCTAGAATCAACCTGTATGCCAAAATTGAGCTTCTTACATTGAGTGGTTTGAGCAGGATCGTGATTAATCAGTATGTCAGTCACTTAAGGATTTTATATATTAGTATAGATTTACTTTCATACACTATTTGATTTATAATTAGTTTTGATTTATTCTTTTTTTATTATTATATTTTGCGTACTTTTATTTATGGATAAATTTTTAATAATAATAGCTCCCGTATATAGGTTAACGCCTACCTTGCTACTCGCAGCAAGGTACAGCTTGCCATGCTAGAGCCGTTCGGTATACAAGGAAGGTAATGTGGCACTACCATAGAGTTAAAAATGGCACTACGCTGCAACCGCCTATTATTACCTTAGGATTATGAAGTACTCATTTAAGGCTGAGTCGACCTAGGCTGAAATAGTCGGCTGATGAAATGATGAAAAAAATAGTCGGCTGATGAAATGCCGGCTGTAGGATTCGAAATTCGAACACACAACCTTTGGATTGGTAGACGAGAGCTGGTACCTCTACGCCATGCCTCTACGCCACCGGGCACCTTACATAAATATAAATTAAAATATTCGGATACATTTTTCAGAAAGCAAATAAAAGAGTCTCTCTTTTAAAATTATTTTTCTGAATTTGTTTTAGGTGTTATGAAGTTTAACACGTTTTAAATAAAATTAGAACGCAACTGATAAACCTGAATTTAAGTCCACCATATTAAACCTCAATGAGTTTTATAGACTATTGAGCTTATTCAATGAGTTTTACAAAAATGATTGACTAGGTTATAGGTATACCATTCAAAAAACTTAAGTCTAATTTTTGTCTATAAAATATATTACATTTCTTTAATTTAGCATTACTAACTAACTAAATAACTTCTTTAAGCTACGTCAAACATTAAAAATTAAAACGAAACAACCTTGTGTATACTGCAAAATAATTTTTCTTCCCACATTATATTACATTACCAGATTAATATCAACACCTTTTTAGACAAATAAGAATGCTCAAAACCAAGATAAACGTGCCGACTTTCGTAATGAGAAGAAGCTGTATGTTTATTTTTCTATAAAGTAATAAAAATTTTAGTTATAGGCCAGTTGCAAAATAAGATCCTTTCTAAAAATCTTAGTTGCATATCTCGCGAAAAATAGAACAGTTAGTATTTAGTGTCGAAATCTGGTCGATACGTGTGTTCGATTTCGACAAATATTTATAAATCAAATATCTATCTGAGAGATGTATTTGACTGTAGAATTATATACAGGGTGGCGCACCTCATTAGACTCGGTTAATTATACAAATTCCACACATATTCACGTCCACCATATTTTCTCTCTTCTCTAATGATGACTTTATACTCATTGTCACAACCTGACCGACAATGGTTTCAATTACTATACGCCAATAATAAGCAAATTTTACAATTTTTTTATAGTATATAGTTTTGACTACAACGTTTCAATTTAGTTTTGCAATGATTGTTGTAAGAGCTTGTTTACAAATAATATATAAGACTCAATGACTCTAACACACAAAACCTGAATTTTTGTTTAAACCACGTAACAACAGATACATTTATATCAGTTGATATCATTTACCCTGCTACAATTTTGTAACAGAATTTTCTGCTCGATTTTTTCCGTGTAGTAGTATTCTTTTGTTCTGATTGCAATCGTAGGAAGTAATGTGATTTTAGTGAAAGTAATTTTTT